CCTGGGAACGGAGTTGGTGCAGAATGGACTTGTGAGTCCTATGAAGGCGCCGTCGACGCAAAATCGAGCGATCGATGGGTTGGGATCCGAGGCTGGGTTTTTTTTTGCTTGTTGTTGTTTTTGGATCGCTGGTTGGGAAGGGGAATAGTAGGTATTGTGTGGGGCACCGTGTGGACTCGCAGTATTATTGACCTTTACTCTCATCCTATACACGCTCTGAAAAATTTTGCATGGCGGCCTCACAGCGCCGCAAACTGGCCTGTATATCTGCGAAAAAGGCCTATTTTATTATTACAAAGGCCTCGCCCGATGATCACCGCTGGCAACGCTACAATACCGGTTATATTTCCCGTCCCCAACTAAATGTTCGTCAAGAAGGACAAAGAAATCCAGCGACAGCCTCCAAACCCAATGCTTCAACAAAGTGGACAAAGAAGTAAGCAACATGCATGAAAGGTCATAAACATTGCGATTATGAGATCTACTCCAAAGAACTATCCACCCAAAGAAAGAAATTCAAAGTTACCCCCGACTCCTAACCGACTCTATAACACCACAAACCAGACCCAAACCCAGCCTTTCTGCTCAAGAGGAATATGCCCACCAACATCCCAACACCATCTCTTCGATCTACGAGTCAAAAATAGCCCCATACGCCGCAACACCCCTCGTCTCAAGCCCATACACCACCTTTTGCGTAACCCTCTGATTCGAAATCACCACTACGGCCTCACACTTCCCATCCCTTTTCCCCTTCCCCCCCATCTTCCCCTCCCCACCATCCCTTCGACCCCCCTCCCAAACCCTATACGCCAACCTCACCAAATCCGGCCTCTTATTCCCTTCCAAATCCGTATCAATAATAATCGCCTCTGGATCAACCCCATACAAGAAATCCACCACCCCCTGACCATAAGTCTTGACGGGACTCCTCGTGCTCCAGATAATACGCACGGGATGCTCTGGCTTTTGCACAAAGAGAGAGAGGCAGGGCGCAATGCCTGATCCGGTGGCGACGATGATGACGGGGGAGAAGAGGCCTGCTATGCGCATTACGCCAAACTGCGGGGTGCCGCGCGTGTAGATTTGGCGGGGCGGGTTGCGGATGATCTTCTTGGTCCAGTCGCCTGCGTCGGAGACGATGACGGAGAAGCCGCGCTGGCCGGCGTGGGAGAGGGCTGGTGTGGGAGGGAGGGGTTTGCTGGTTGCGGTGGAGAGGGTAGATGAGCTACTGCTGCTGCTGGTGCTGATTTTTGGGGACATGGAGTGGCAGGCGCAGCCGGAGCAGTGGGGGATGGGTTTTGGTGCGGCGGGGTGGGGGATGACGGCGAAGGCGTGGGTTTCGGTGAGGGGGGCGTCGGTGAGGCGGACGGCTTGGCCGTAGTGGGCGTTGCGGTAGTTGAAGTTGAGCTTGACGCAGTGATCTGAGAGTGGCTCGACTTCGACGTCGCGGAGGCGCATGCGGCTCCAGGGGTAGATGATGAGGAGGGTGATGACGACGAGCATCCAGAAGCTGGGTGACACCAGGAGAGCCCTCCCGAGGGGGATACTGCTGGTTTGGCTTGCTTCGGCGGCCAGGAGAATGTTTTGCGCCCAGAAGAGGAGGGTAGCGAACCATCCCATGTATCGGTGGATGCCCTCGAACCAGTTGTGGGCGAGCACGCGGAGCCGTGGGTGTGCTGAGATGCACATGGATACCAGGAGGAAGATGATGAAGTAGCTGACAAAGTAGATGTAGCTGTGTATCACTGAAAGAGTGCCGAGGGATTGGATGTGCGTCGTCAGCGTGTAGAGAAAGGTGATGTACCAGAATGTGGCGGCAACGGCGCAGCCGCTGTGGATACCACCGTATGCGTAAACTCTGGCAGTCAACTTCCTGACCCAGAAGGGAAGCCGGCTGGTCCAGGTTCCGAAAACCCAGAAGAGAGTGTTGACAACATGCTCGTTCCGGGCAAGCAACGATGCGAGAATGTTGGCCGTGACAGCAACGCCGCAGTCTTGATAAGGGAGGAGCCGCTTTTGCCTGGCGTATGCGTCGACAGCTAGGAATGTCAGGGCAGTCACGTTGCCGAAGAAAACAAGGGAGAAGATCCTTCGGTATACGGAACCAAAGTTCCATCGGAGGTAACGATAGAGCCGGAAACCCCTCTTGGGTGGGAGTGGAGATGCAGAAAGCCCATGTTTAGTGAAGAGATCATTGGCTGGAACTGTCTCCCTTGGTGCCTTTTCGCAAGGTGTCTGACAATCGCTTCCAAGGCTGTCCGGAAACGACCTTTGCGTGGAGAGACCCCTTTCCAAGTCCGGGAAAGAGTTGTGTCTGCTGAAGTTTCTGCTGGGGAAGAATGGCCGAACGGGGTAAGTGATGGTGGTGTCGTTGAGCTCGTCGAAGCTGTCAGTCTCGGAGTCCGCCATGTCTCCGGCATACAGGTGACTGGGATAAGAGGCCCCATCGGGCGAAGCGGCATCTGAATTCTGAGCCCCGGATGATCCTTGCCGTGCGTTGAAAGGAGGCGCCATTGGCGAGGGCAGTGCTGTATGGTGACGAGGGATGATTGGTGGCATGATAGCAAGAGGCTCTGCTCTCTTTGTCAGTGAGTGTTTTGAAATATGATTTGTCAGGGGCATGGCTCCATGTGTCAGAGTATAACAGGAAAATACAAAGGTTGATGCCATCGTAAAGCTTATTCCGTTGCCCATCCCGAGGAATGAACCTTACCTCCAACTCCACTGATAAAAGGTGGATATGTTCTCGGCGGCCCAACTTGGAGTTGAGAGGCCAGGTGATCAGAGGTGGTGATAAGAATAGGACAAAGACTGCTTGAGATGAAGCGGGCTGTGAGGGAGACGCCATGGCTCTTATGGACCCCGGGTTGGAGCCAAGAGAGCGTATCGAGCAAGTGTTTGATAGAGGACAGAACCCAATGGTCAATGGCGCCATCTTCGAACCATGGCACTCAGTGCAAGACGGTTCGTCTCACAATAGAAGCATATGCGAGGATCCAATATAATACGAACGATAGTCCATCACCACCATGCCAAGATTACCGGGCCTCAAAATACCACTTGGACCGGACGTCTCCCGTTGTGACAGACATCTCGAGCCAAATGCCAATGGTTTGGCACCATCAAGTTCGATCCTCTCCCGAAATAGTGCCGGGACCGGGAGCTGGGCTGGTAAGTCATGGCTCTGTAAGCCGGACTTTAGATGTTGGCCTGGGAAAACCATCGATCGAGCCATGGCTGGTTTCGGTCCTCGACATCTGTATGGACGGAATACACGAAACGTGCTTGTGCTGTGCCATCGGGTTGTACGCTGAAGGAGCTGAATGTACCAATGTACTCTTGTTTTGTGGGGGGTAGTCCCGTTTGGCAAGTGTGCGGCACCAACTGGCTCAATTGGGTTGCCCGCTGAGTGGTCCGACCGCCTATTTCGAGGCAGTGCCCACAACCGGGCACTGTATCTATGTGCGTGCTGTTGTGTTACCCCGGAGCACAGCACTCGGAATTCCGACCGTTGCCAGCCCGTTGGGATTCAGGGCAGCCCAGAACTTGTGTAACCCGACGGTTATCTCTGCGTGTGCCTTTCCTGGCGTCAGGGGCCGGCCTACGTCGTGACGGTGTCGCTTGTGGAAACTATGTGCGTCAGCTGTCGGGGGAAAACGTCTTTCTTCTCTTCGAATTCCTAATCGATTGGACTCAACCAGGCGCAAAATCGCCGGCCTGAACGCTATATCATAGTTCTCTGCCCGGCCCTGGTTTTGCGGCATCCGGGTCTTCTTTCCAGTACTAGCCGCCACGTGCGAACACGAATGGGGAGCCATGCAAATAGGTTGCCAACATGCAAGCCGATCGATGACATTCAAAATTTGTCCGAAATATCGTTCTTTTCAGAACAACGAGATCTTGACGAATACGAAGACGACTGATCATCGTGGATCAACTCCATGGATGCGAAAATCTCAACGGTGATCTGGGGCTCGAAGATTCGGTGAGGCATAGGCCGCCGCGTTAGAGGACGCGCAACTCGAGTCGACAAGGTGGCTCTCCACCAACTGGCAGCAGCCGATAAGCCTGCGTTCTCTTGGTGCAAGCAGACGGCGTTTGTGCTGCTTGGCAAGTGTCGGGTCTGCAAATATGGTTTGTTGATGCGAAGGCGCAGCATCGTCGAACGTGCAAATTCCAGCATCGAAGTCCCCGTGTCCGGAGCGGGACGAAGCTCCCACCGACACCGCCTCACAGCTACTCCTTCCTCAACCAAATTCGACCTTCTACCCCACCCATCGCGAGTCTGCCTCGCCGGCACTTGGAGCAGCAAAGAAAACTAGGAACTTTAAGCAGGAACGACCCAAACTTCCAAAATGTCCAAAATTGACAACATCGTGAGAATAAATAACATCGTCAACAGCCCATCACCATTCGGACCCTCTCGAATGGAGAAACGCGGTCTACTAAAATATCACCAAGCTCCCGATCATCGCGGGTTCTGACGTGAGACCCTCCCGTGGAGCACACGATCCCCTTATGTGGCCGACCTGCAAGGCTGCGGCGCATCATCTATGTGCCGCCTGTTTCGGGCCCCTTTTAACCTCCGAAGTGACTCGTCTCAAATCTCTCCAAGGTCTGTTCCTTTTGCAGAGCTACAACGTCACATGCACGAACCGACCCAACGAACCACCGTCCTGGTACACCCAACATATCCTATCTTCCCGTCCGTCACCACTGACGCCGGGAGATGTGCACTACCCGACGGCGCGCGCAACTCGTCCCCTCTGTACCACCCGAAATCAGTCGCCGGTTTGTACCACCCGAAACCCGCCTCTGTACCACTCGGCGGCATTCGTCACCTCACTCCAACTCCCATCCCCGCGCCACATGGCCGCCATCCCGACCGCCAACGACATATGCCAAAGCGGGCAAACCACATACCTCACCACCATCATCACCAGCAGCACCAGTATCAAAACCCAACCTACCAAACCTCCACAACATCAACCAAATACGGTTCGTTGGTCTAGCGGTATGATTCTCGCTTAGGGTCTCAACCCTGAGTTGCACACGAAAGTGTAAAAAAATGCGAGAGGTCCCGGGTTCAATCCCCGGACGAACCCCATCTTTTTGCCCTCCCTCGGAGGATTCCATGCTTTTTTGGTCTTTCCTCGGAGTCATTTCACTGAATAGGATACTGACTGACGTACCCGACCCCCTTTCGCACATGTCGAAGAACTGGAAGGAAGGAAGCTGCCGAAAATATGTGGCTCAGTCACGCACACAAGCGGCGCAGACGGTTGGGGAATCCGGTAATTTGCACCGTGAGTGGCCCCCAAGCTGAACAAAGGGGAATACCTCCCAGTTGGGAACACAGGGGGAGCAAAATTTCCCGGCTAGGAACTAACTGCCGCGCAGCGAGACAATCAAGGGTTGCATCGGCCATTCAACGCTCTTCTTCTTATCGAGGAACGGTGGTACAGAAGCGCGCGCGCGGTTGTTTCTACACTTCCTTGGTTACATGTACGCAGTATTAGGCTACCGCGCTTGCTTGCTTGCTTGGCCAGTCTGCGAGCCACTTCTTCATGATGCCAATCATCTCGATCTGCGCCGTACGAATGGCCTCGTTGGCGTCGGCGTTGCGCATCAACAGCTCGTTGCAGTGGATGGCTTCGGGGAGGACAAACACGGGCGCTTCGGGCGTGCTCGGCATTGGTCCTCCGGGGCGGATCTCGCTGGAGACGGATGCGGACCGCCAGGGGTCGTGTTCACTGCGTTGCGACGGGTTAGGGTCTTGGCAACGCGCTTTTGTTTGCCAAGGGCAAGGCAGAAGGTTGATGCAGCTGGGGATGCACTCACCCGTTCACCCACAGGAGGCGTGTTGTGTTCTTCAGGTTCCAACCTTCCGTCAGGGCGTTGACCAAGTCTACGGTCTTGCCGGCGGCGGAGCCATGTGTGTAGTTGCCTTGCTGGGGGAAGTAGATGTCGCATTGGACCTGGTAGTAGTGCTCGCCTACCGAAAACGGCACGTAGGACCGTTCTTGGCCGCGCGGCGGGTTCCTACATGGAGGATTGTGTTAGTTGTGGAAAGCCGCCAAACTGCATCAGAGTCAGGGTAGCCACTCACAGCATCCAATAGCCAAACGGCTCGTTACACAGCATCCAGAACCACTGTCTGTTGACGGGGTTGTCGACTCTGTAGTCTATCATTGCGGCGTTTGTTGCGTTGTGCGTATCGTAGCATCCAGTCGAGAGTGTGTCGTTCCAGTCTGGGTCGTCGTCGTATTCGTACTGCTTGCATACTGCAGACGCTATTAGTCCCAAGAGCTTGCTCGGTGTACGCTCTTGGTAGTTACTCACACCCCGGAAGCTCCTCGTGCTTGTACCACAAGGCAAAGTTCTTGAGCGCTTTCTCCAACCCTACGCCATCCGCAGATACATTGGACCAATGGACGCCCTCGTTGACTGTACTAGGCTGCTTCTCGCCGATGGTACTGCTGTTGCTGTGCTCCGCGGCGGCGCCCATGTTCACTGGCCTCACGCCCTGGATGCTGTCACACATCTGATAGAACTCGGAGTAGTTGGTGTATCTCTGGATCCCTTGCCATTTGGCAGGAATGCCTCCCACCGCTCTGTGGTTTGTTTTCATTAGTCGCGTGCCCCTGCTTGTTTAAGGGGGGCTGCCTACACCGCAAAGTCGTCGTGGTACTCGACATCTGCCAGGCCAAACATGTCCTTCAGCTCATGAATTGCCGTCTCATTCTTGCTCTCAATGACATTGTCAAGATGCTCTGAGATGAGGAGCAAGTCCTTGCTGCAGTTTTGTGGCATGCCGCGTTGGATGGGGATGAAGTATTGCCAAAAGTTGTAGATGGCTTCGACGGGGGCGCTGCTTGAGTGGTATGCCCAAAACGCGTCGGGGTCGAGCTTCTGAGTCCAGGCGACCAGATTCCCTGCGTAGCTGCCGCCGAGAAATATCCATGGCTAGTTGCAGTTAGTGCTGCTCAGACACCCCAGCCAGTGAGGAATCGTCCTACCGCATTCTGGGAGTTGCTCGCTTCTGACTCGTCAAAGGGGAGCTTGACTGTGCGGGTAAAGTGCCCCAGATCCTTGATCGAGTTGTCCAGCGTCAGGTGGGTGAGATTCTGAGTGTCGAGAACCGAATAAGGGGACGAGTCGCCATAGTATCGGTCTATGGAGAACTGTCAGCCTGCCCGAACCACCCCTCGCTCAATCTTGAGAGCTCATACGCTCAAGCATAATCATGGCACCGCCAAACGCCTGGGCATACTGTCCCAACAAGGTGCGGTTCGTAAACCATCCCATGTAAGGGGCTGCTTCTGTCTCCCCGGGTGTGAAGAAAACGATCTTGCATCGCCTGTCAGCAGCTAATCCTCCAACATAAAGAGTCCGATCCTTCATACGGGAGATCCCGGTCCGGCCCAGTACGTCGTGTTCCACCAATACTTCTGCGAGAAGGTCCCTAGGCTAGGATTCGCATGGTCGACGTACTGCTCAAAGCTCCCATTGCCGCCGTTTGGTCCTACCACCAGCATACGAAAAGGAGGCGGTAGTGGCGGTTTGGGAAGAAACGCCTCAGCACCGCTCTGCAGCAGAGCCAAGCAGGAGAAGAACAGCTGAGAAACCCCGGATTTCCTCATCGTAAAGCTGGTTGCAACTCGCACCTCACCCACACTTGTGAGGGAGACCCAAGAACGAGGCGAGCATGGCGCAAAGCACTATAAGAGGCCTCTGGCCCGTAGGTAATACAAGTCGACGCTTGTCTCACCCTCAAACGAGCAAAAAGGTCATCCCGCTGGGGACTGCAACCTCAGGGCTCTAGAACGGGCAGGTAATAATAAAATATAGAGGGCCTCGGCTTATCACCCAGACGATATACACGATGGCTGCCGTCCTGCGTCGGCTAAGATGCTGGCGGCGGAGGATTTCTGCCGGCGCCGGGCTCGGCTCCCTTCAGCGCTGGTCATGAGGGGCACACAGCACACTGCCCGCGGCAGCGCCAATTGGCTTCAGATTGTCGGTGAATCGCGACTTGGGAGTGATGCAAATTTGAGAAAGATGCAAAAATAACAACACAGGCGGCTGGCGAGGGGATGGTGGTTCGAGCGTTCAGATTGCACGCAACCTCGATCCAAACACGCGCGCTTTGAGTCGTGGTTTTGAAGGCCTCGCTCACAGCGCTGCTTCGGCGCGAAGTCTGGGCCCGAGCAGCTGAGCTCCCGACGCGGGGCCGGCAGAAGCCGAACGGCCCCACGTGCAGAATCACGTGACCTGCACCCCCAAGCTCGGACAGCTCCACCATCCGACCAGAGCAGTAGCAGCCAAGCTAAGCTTCAAGACGTCAAACCACACTCCCTCTCCCGCAATCGCAATTGTCGCCGCTCGCCGCCCCAATTGCACTCACCATGGCGCTAGGATCATCCTCCGAGACCCCGCGGCGTACGAACCCTTCTCAATCCTACGGCGCGTCGACGTTTCATGCTAACCAATTCCGTTCAAACAGTGGCAACGCGCGAGGAGATGTCGGCCGCCAAAGTCCCGCTTGCCTACCGAGATAGCTGCGCACACCTGCTCATCCCGCTCAATCGGTGTCGGACGGATACCTACTTCCTCCCGTGGAAGTGCGAGGTACGCCCCGGCCGCCCCCCCCCCCCCCGGGGGGGGGGGGGGGCGGGGGGGCCGGGGGGGGGGGGGGGGGGGCGCGGGGGGGGACGGGGGGGGTCGACGCGGGAGGGA